CAACCTGAGGGGACACACCTCATATGGCCCTACTGCGTTCACTGTCCCAACACTTAATGAATTGTCTCACTTGATGGTCAGGCATTGCTGCTCTGCAGGTGGCCCCCTCCCACTCTCCTTGAGGGATAAGGGCTGCAAACATGAAGTAAGTGACCCTTCAATGCCATCTCTAGTTTTAAAAATTCACTGCATCTATATTTATAATGATGCAGACAGTAAAGGAGGATGCTTTGAGTAAAAAGGTAATAAAGGTTGATGCTACTTAAAATAGTCAAGGTATTGGTTTAAAGCCAACTCTGGGCTCGCATCAGAAGGCAGGAGATGAATGCTATGACCAAAGACTGAAGTTCTCTGTAGAGTCCGCAGCACTCAATAGGGCTCTATCTTCCTGAGGAGATATAAGACTTAGCCACTACATAATCATCACATAATAATCCATGATTTATTATTATTATTTTTTTGAGACAAAGTCTTGTTCTGTTGCCCAGGCGGGAGTACAGTGGCATGATCACAGCTCATTGTAGCTTTGACCTCTTGGGCTCAAGCAATCCTCCCTCCTCAGCCTCCCCGCATAGCTGGAATCACACAGGCATGTGTTACCATACTTGACTAATCAAAAAAAATTTTTTGTGTGTAGAGATGGGGTCTCCGTATGTTGCCCAGGTTGGTCTCAAATTTCTGAGCTCAAGTGCTCCTCCCACTTCAGCCTACCAAAATGCTGGGATTATAGACATGAGCCACTGTGCCTGGCCTACTCATGTTCATTGATATGGGAAAGTAAATAAAGGTCTCAAAGTAGAGGAAGAAAAAAGAAGGAAGAAGAAGGAGGAAGGAAGAAAAAGCAGGAGAAAGAGAAGAAGGAAAGAAAGAAGAGAGAGAAGAAAGGAGGAGGAGGAGAGGGGGAAAGAAAAAGGAAGGAAGGAGGGAAGGAAGGAAGGAAGGAAGGAAGGAAGGAAGGAAGGAAGGAAGCAAGGAAGGAAGGAAGGAAGGAAGGAAATGACTGTGGCACCTCGGAATCTGTAATAGCAGGGAAAAGGGACTGTGTACACAGGTGGACATGTGCTCCTGACTTTTGGTACTGCAAGTTTCAGAACCTTTCCATGAGATATCAGACTACTACTAAAAACCTGGAGGGGTTATTCAGGAAACAAGGTTTGCCTAGTGATAGAAATTATCTGTAGACAATCATGGATGATCATTTTTTCTAAAAAAGAAAAATGGCATTACCTAAGGAAATACAAATGTGCTTATATGAAATGGGAGCTCTCTGGAAAGCTTAAATGTAAGCTTTATGAGAAAGATGAATAAAAATAAAACCATGAATGAACCTAAAAATGTACCTATGAAAGGTATAGTTAACAGAAGCTCAAAATGCCAGAGGCAATAAAATAAAGTACTACTGGCTATATTCTAAGCAAGAAGAAAACGAAGGGGACAGAGTAACAGTTTGGGGGAAGGGAGTGTAATGTTCACAGATGAACAGTGAAAAAGGAGCCCAACTCAAGATGGAACTTGGCTTGCGTCTCATAATAAAGAAAGGATGTTGGGCTGGGCACAGTGGTTCAAGCCTGTAATCCCAGCACTTTGGGAGGCTGAGGCAGGTAGATCACTTGAGCCCAGGAATTTGAGCCCAGCCTGGGCAATATGGTAAAACCTTATTTCTACCAAAAATACAAAAAAAATTAGCCAGGCATGGTGGTATGCACCTGTGATCCCAGCTACTGGGGAGGCTAAGGTGGGAAAATCACTTGAGCCCAGGAGGTTGAAGCTGCACTCCAGCCTGGGTGACAGGGTGAGACCCTGTCTCAAAATGAGAAGAAAACGGAAGAAAATAGGAGGGGAGGGGAGGGGAGGAGAGAGGAGGGGAAGAGATCTCCATATTGGTCAGAGCAAACAAAGAAGATGGAGCTAGTCCCTGACGGGAAAAAGGGAGAGTAAGGACTTTGCCACTTTCAATGACTTCCAATATTCCCCTCAGATGACTCCCATCCCAGGGCACTGAAGAAACTGTTGGGTCCTTTCCCAGTGTCACATGGAAGCAGCATTCTTGTGCCCACTGCAACAGTCCCACTATACACATACACAGTGTACATACTGCTTTCTTGAACAATATCTCTTCTGGGCTTCTCACCAATCTCATGGGCTATTACTATTACCTTCACTGTACACTGAAGCTCAGAATTTAAGTGACCTGCCCAAGGTCCATATAACCCCAGGGAGAACAAGACCAGATCTAGACCCAGGGCATCTGACTCGGGACCAGTGCTTTTTTCACTAACCACTGAACCTTTTTGCTACTTCTTCAACAGAGCAACTTTTAAAACTCAAGCTATAAAATATTAACAAAAATCAATATTAAGTACATTTGTAGCAAGATGAATACTTGCTGGTTAAATACTTGTCGACCTGCCATAAGGATCTGGCTTTTCAGAAGTAAAATTTCATTTAATCTCCAGACTATCCCCAGGAAGGAGTTACAGATGAGGACCTGAGGCTTCTGGCCTTAAGTAACTTGCTTGGGCTTGACAGTGACTGACTGAAGCAGCAAAGGTTTAAATGTATTAGAATCTGTTCTTGCTCCAAATTCCCTATTCTTTCCACTACAACTGGCTGTTACCTTAAAGTGTTCACCAAAGGCTACTCTGAGATATAGACAGTATATGGTTAACCCAATTATAGCAACCAGAAAAGTCAATGGTTTTCCTGAGCCCTGAGAAGTCTGATGTTCCAAACACATTTTCATAGCATGTTCTACAGTCATGCTAACAAAAGCAAAGCCATTTCTCTCCTTTTTAGCCTAGTTCTAATCTTGTGGGAAGAAATACTGAGGGCCTGAGCCTCGCAGTAGTTGTGGGAATAGCGGTAGGCAACCAAACAAATAAATAAATATCTGAATTTATTCTGATTCTTACAGGGGCTCAATGCCTACTACAAATCCCTGGGGCAAGCATATCTCCCTCTACTAAGGAATAGGACAGGAGGTCGGTAGGATGGAGGCAAAGGGAAGGCAGAGACATGGGGAAATGGAGACCTCCTCTAGATTTTATTATTTCCAGGATCTACTTCCTGTACAGTCACTAGTTCTGGCTTTAGAGGAGGACAAAGAAAACTACTTTCATATAAATAAGAAGCCAAGGCTCTTCAGATTAAGTTCATTGCCTAGGTTCACCAGTGATGGTCACGATAGAGGTCTCAATGTAATGGAATCTGGTACACGACTCCCAAATGTAGAGGCACAAGCACGTTTACCAGCAACAGCAGCAGAAGTTAAAAGAACCCTCAAGTAGCACCACGTGTTAATTCAACAAAGGTTTATCAAGCATCAATGACTAAATCAAGCAACGGGTAAATACTGGGGATCAGACAGAATGAGACAGCACCACGCCCATCTTTGTGGAGCTTACAGGCGTGTGGGGGATTACAGTTACAAAAGGGCATGCTCAGATTGCTATGGATACTTAAAAACCAGGAATGGAGTTGAATCTTTATTATGCCTTTGTATCTCCATGAATTTAAAGTGTTTCAAAATTCTAAATTATTTTATTCATTTTAATTAAAAACCAAACCACTACCACTTACTCTCAGGAAGCTCGGTGAAGTAGCAAATAGAATATTTATTCTAAGTCCTGGCTCTTGTACTTTTTGATCAGATACATGTCTTAACAAAACTATAATCCTGAATATGAAAAATCCATCACCAGTTAAAATTTTTACCTAAGAAACTTGCCTGCTACACAAAATGAGTCAAAGTTGACTGTAAAGGATATCATGTGAAACTTCATATGGAACAGATTTACTACTTTATTAATTCTAGTCCAGTGTGTGCCCCAAGAACATTCTTTACTAGAAGAATTAATAGTCACTGCACCTTTGCACAAGCAGGTGTTCCAGACTTGGTGCTATTCTCCTACATGCTCTTTTCATTTATTAATACAGGGTCCAGATTGGCTCTTACTGCCTCCCATACCCCTAAGCTTCCCGACAGTGGCAAAGCTGGGATTCAAGGAATTTAAACTCATGCCAATCTACAAAACCAATTAAGTACACCAACTGCCTAAAACTCTACTTCATGCCCCCTCTTTACATCAGAGGTAGCACTCTTAATGTCTCTAGAGGGCAGGCAGGTAACACCGATGAACAACATGGCAGGTAATGCATACGCATCTATGGTGTAAGCAGGAGAAACAGAGTGAGCTGAAGAGGAGACTGAAGGGAAAAGCAGCTATTTGATTCCAATGATTGCCACAATGTATGATCTTGCAGTTTTCTTTTCTTTTCTTTTCTTTTTTTTTAGACAGAGACTAGCTCTGTCGCCCAGGCTGGAATGCAGTGGCGCGATCTCGGCTCACTGCAAGCTCTGCCTCCCAGGTTCATGCCATTCTCCTGCCTCAGCCTCCCGAGTAGCTGGGACTACAGGCGCCCACCACCACACCCAGCTAATTTTTTTTGTATTTTTAGTAGAGACAGGGTTTCACCCTGTTAGCCAGGATGATCTCAATCTCCTGACCTCGTGATCCACCCGCCTCAGCCTCCCAAAGTGCTGGGATTACAGGCGTGAGCCACCGGGCCCGGCCATCTGACAATTTTCAAACCAGAAGTTCAACATCTCATATATACTCCTGAATGTTTAAATGTTAATCTAAGTTTCTTTGTTGTTTGTTTTAAGAGCACTATGTAGGTCAAGCAGGTCACCAGCTCTCCACCTCTGCTAACACACTGTCAGTGTCATCTTCTGAACAGCACTAGTTTGGTGTGCTAAATTTTGCAAGATTATTTTCATAAGTGTAACATCACTCTGGGGATGGGTGAGGCAGAAGATTCCTTAATGCCTTAAACATCAGTGGTGCTCTCTTCTTCAGGCAGCCTAGATGGACTCATGGACTAATGCCATGCAAGGTAGAGCTGCTCACTTACGATCATAAGATGCCTTTCTTCCCAGGAAACCACAGAACAAACTTCTTTTCTCTCCCATAGCAGTTCCACCCTAAGTAGGTGCTTACCCGTTTGTCAATGTCATTGTGCTGAAGCTGCACAAAACGAGCACTGATGGCTGCAATGTAACTCTGCTGATTGGAGAATGCCACACGGCCAGCACCTTTGGGGTACTTCAGCTCTGGGTCCGTATCAATGCCAGCATAGCAGACACCACCGTACAAACGGTCCATGATCATTGCCAGTTCAACTGCAAAAAACAGAACAAAACATGGATGTGTATAAATATTTGGGAGGTACTCCTGCCCAGGAGAAGGAAGAATTATTTAGACATCATGCAATGTAATTAAGAAAAGGAAAACGCATGTTAAGTATCAAGAAGACTGTCCACACCAGTCTTACAACTCAAGTAGGGAAGGTCCTAATAGGGTGTTTTGCAATAAAATGGAAAAAAAATTAGGAATTTACACACATACACACAAGAATTTATATAATCAGAACTTTAGCAGTAGTATTGAAGAAACGAACTACCAGTAATCCTCCTGTTCTAATTTCCAACTGGTTAGTTCAATGGAATGTGCCTTGGGTAGGCAAGGCATTTCATGCTGCCCTAACAAGTTAATAAGAAACAGTCCTACTTACTAACTTCTAAGACTAAAAGAAATTACTAGTGTTACACTACTATATTAGGACTAAGCTATAGAAAGGATTAACTGCTTGTTTTAACTAGAGACAATTTATTTATAGCCTTAAAGTAAATCTCCACAATTTAAAAAAGTAAAGATTTTAGAGTATATTCTAATCCAACTGTGAACTCTTCATACTAACCTCTCCCATTGAATTCTAAATAATAATACTAGTAATGATAATAGCCACAATAAACATTTACTGAGCACTTACAACCTACCACAGAGCACTAAGGTGCTACACAAATAGTAAAAACATACCCATGCTGTACCTTGCTATAGATCCAGAGGTGTGGCCTGTACTCCTTGTCACATTTCTTCTAAATATGCCTTTGTTTGTTTGTTTACTGAGACAGAGTCTCGCTCTGTCACCCAGGCTGGAGTGCAGTGGTGTGATCTTGGCTCACTACAACCTCCCCAGTTCAAGTGATTCTCCTGCCTCAGCCTCCCGAGTAGCTGGGATTACAGGCATGTGCCACCACACTTGGCTAATTTTTTGTATTTTTAGTAGAGATGGGGTTTCACCATGTTGGCCAGGATGGTCTTGAACTCCTGACCTCAAGTGATCCGCCAGTCTTGGCCTCCCAAAGTGCTGGGATTACAGGCGTGAGTCACCATGCCTGGCCTAAATATGCCTTTATATTGGTATAGTTACAAAACAATAAAGGTACCATTAGAAAAACATGTAGCACTTACCTGCATACCAGATTGTCTGAAGGCAATTGTTTACTTGATAGTGGACAGCACCTTCTCCAGGTATGACCATTCCTTTTAGGCTACTCACATAGTATAAGTCCAAAAGACTCAGCACTACCCCTGGGAAGTGACCCAAGAACCTGTTTCAACACCTATATATGGTATTTGGAAAGGAGAAGACAGGGAAGACAGACAATGACCTGGGCCACAGCCAATGTGCAAAGATCATCACATAGTAGAGCTCCACAGCAATCAGTATCTGGAGAGATGGAGAGCAGCACAACTCTTCTCTTCTAGGAGAAGAGTTCTGCAGAATGTACAAAGGGTGAAGGGCTGAACAGTAGAAGAACTCCACTACATGTCTATGAACAAAAGGAAAGCCAAGCACTACTGGTTTCTGTACTACGAAACTGCTGAGGCAGTAAGTAAAACTGTGTTGCTACATCAGAGAGGCTATCTTTACACTTCTCCAAAAGTTCTTTACATACCAGATTGCCTATTGGTGACTATTTTCTAACTGCCTATTTTTAATAGGAAGGACAACCCATAACCAACAAGTGATTTTCAGAAGGTGAGAAAATAAGCTAGTAAGAACTAAGCCTAAGAGTAAGCGCCATTAAAGACAGAGCAGCAGAAAGTTATCTCAATTATACCACTATGGTCAGAATTACTAAGCCATATCAGCCAAGGGAGCATAGTCTGTTAAAGCCAAGTAGATGCTTACTGCAGTCTTGGGGCAGGATCCAGGAATCACATTCATTCAAACAACGTAACAGGAATTGTGCGTATACCCTGAATATCAGAGGTCCTTATACTTCATCCCAACAACCTCTGACGGCTTGAGGATCTCCTCATATGGCTATTACTGCAGTAACAGAGACGAAGAAACTGAAGGCAGAATTAATTGTTAATTGCAGTCATTAATGCATTTCCCTTATTGGTTGAATGGGTTTAGTGAAATAAGTAACCTCAGGACCCTATAACTTAAATACTAATTTTCAAAAGACAAGGCTTCCTCTGTAGTGAAATAAGAGAAGTAACAATCTCCAAGCCTGGTGAATGGCCAGGAAAAGAATGCTGGCAAGGAATTGAATGGCACTTGTCTTCCACCATAGGAAGGACTCAACAAAGTGTCTGATTTAGAAAGAAGGCACATGAGTGGTAAGCTTGAAACTCCAGCTAAGCAGAAGAGTTACTGTAACCACAGATTTTTCTACACCACAGTGTTCTCCAAAAAATCTTCAGGATCTTCTGATGCCAGAGAAGCACAAACATTCCATTATTTTGTGAATCTATCTGTTTGAAATCATCTGCACGTTCCAAGGATTAGATCATGACTGATGTTGCTGGCAGTTAAGTACTTTTGATAGGAAGCAGAAACCCTCATCTGCTTATGCTCTTATGAAAACTAATTATAAATAAATAATTTCCATTTATGAACTTATATGTAGTTGCTTTTTTGGCCATCAAAAAGTCTGCAGACATTTGAGTCAATCAGGTCTCACTTAAGTGAAGGGCAATTTGCTGAGAAGCTAGAAGAAACCAAGGTGACTTAAAAAGAGGTTTTTGGGAGAAGAATATGAAAATTTCCCATCTCTCTCTCTACCCTCATCTGTATTTTAACTACAGAAAGTCTAATACTATGACCACCCTTGAAGAGAAGTAAACAGTAGTCAAACAGCTGCTGTTTGTATTTGGTCTTCTGCTCAACCGGTAAGTCTTCATTCAGCATACTTCCTGCAGGCTGAACTCATTTAAGTACTAAACAGAATTTCTAGTCCTCATTTGAAACCATCCTCTGCAGAGGGCAAAGACAAAGTAGCTCCCAGGAGCATGTTCTTAACATTTCACCTGAGGAAGATAAGGGTACCAGAGCAGGGCATAGAGGTGAAGGAATCCAGCGTTCACATAGAGGTGAAAACAGGTATACAGTCCATGAGGAAGTCAAGACTTTCCAAACCATTTTTTATTTTCTTTCCCATCCAGACAGTGCTCATGGGTCTGTCTGGTCATGGTGGGAAGATGGCAGGTCTAATAGCTATGGTTCAAGGGTATACTGTACTTTGGACAAGATGCTCTGTGATCCTAAGACAACTTAAATTGTCTCATGAACAACTTCCATGGTAGCAGCAACACAATGAGTCTAATCCACATGCTGGCTCTTGTGATGAGAGTCACTGTGCCGCAGACTGGAGGGGCAAACTAGAATACTGCAGCAATGTGGAGCACATAGCATCCCCATGAATTCCTTTGGATTGTGATGACTATATCTCTGGAGTTGAATATAAGCTTCAATTATGGTTCCTTGGATTTGCTCCTGATTCTTTTTTTTTTTTTTTTTTTTTTTGGTGATGGAATCTTGCTCTGTGGCCCAGGCTGGAGTGCAGTGACACAATCTCGGCTCACTGCAACCTCCACCTCCTGGGTTCAAGTGATTCTCCTGCTTCAGCCTCCCAAGTAGCTGGGATTATAGGTGTGCAGTCACCATGCCTGACTAATTTTTATATTTTTAGTAGAGATGGGGTTTTGCCATATTGGCCAGGCTGGTCTTGAACTCCTGACATCAGGTAATCCGTCTGCCTTGGCCTCCCAAAGTGCTGGGATTACAAGCATGAGCCACCGCTCTTGGCCTGCTCCTGATTCTTTACAAAGATGTGAAAGGGTCTTTAGTTCACCAGAGAGGAAACCCATGATGAATCCTCCCAGTCCTGCTTCACCTCACGGCCCTATTTATATCATTTAATTATAATATATTTCAAAGCCAGCTAAGGCAACATGTTAGCCTGAGATACTGGACAGCCAAATGAGATAGAGTGGAAATGAGGATTCCAGAGGAAAATAACACATTCGTCTTTACAGATTCTAAACTGTGAATCTAGAATCCGTATTTCTTCTCTTTGGAAATAAGGACAAAACAGATAGGCAAGAGGCACAGGGCACCTTAAGGTATCAAAGAGGTCTCGACTTCTGAAAGCGGGAAGATTAAACTTGACGAGGGCTTCCTAGGTTTACCACAATTGTCAAGGGCAATTCACATACTTCAAGGGGAAGAAATGTGCTCATAAGCTTCTGCTCTGCATCAGATATGTCGAGAAGTTAAGAATATTTTCAAATAGATGGTATGAACAATGAACTAAATCAGACAGAGTGCACTGGTACCAAGTTGACTGTTACTACTGTTACTGAGACAACACCTCAGATCTCAGCTTAATAAAGCATCTTTCTTTCGACCTGAGAAAGACCAATTACTCTATCTGAACTCTGCTTCATCATCTCTAAAGCACAGTCTACCACTTATAATCTCACAGGGTTACTGTGAGAATTAAACATCCATGAGAGCTCTGGGCACACTGCTAAGGACAGAGTAGTATTCAAATGTTTAGTTTTGTCCAGGGTTCTTGCCCCACTCCCACCCTGTGAATCTCTGCTTAACATTTAAGTTGGCCTGGTTTCTGCTCTGTAAGTATCAATTCATCGCAGTGTTATTTTGGCTGTAGGCTAACATCACACAGCTTGCCACTGATACGGCAAAGTTTGACATCAGCTATGGATGAGGGTTTGCTTTTGGTGCAGAGGGAGGACACAAACACATACTAACATTAGAAAATCCTTATCCCTAAAGGTAATACAGTTAATCAAGTCAGTATGCCAAATCTGGAGTTTATCCAGGACAACCCATACTAAACTTAGGACATGGTGAAAAAGCTTCTACTGTTGAAAAACTTGATACAGGATGGTTTCTGCCTGCAACCACTTCATAAAACAACAATAAAGGATAGGGTTATAATACTCCTGTTTCCTAAATCACAAATCAGGATATGGTTTCTAATACATGTGAACTATGAAATGTTTATACCAAATGTCTAAAATAAATGATCTTAGAAAAATTCAGGATATATGTTCTCTAGATATACGCCATATATCTCTGAATATTTACTTCAGAAATTTTTGCCTCCCACAGAAAAACCATCCTCACAACAGTCAGGGCAGGTAAGGAAAGACAGAAAGAAATTTCAGGATTCATCACAGAATATTAGTAGGGGAGAAAAAGAAAGGAAAGAATTATCAGAGCAATTGTTAGGAAAGATAGGACTGAAAGATGAACGAGCAAACAGTAGGCTGTGGGGACTCAGATGAGCACTCTCTCGAGATCGATCTGTTTTGCAGGGCCTAAGGAAGTCATGAAGTAAAGAACAGTTCATATGCTTCTAATGAGAAAGACTGAAAGTTTTTCCAGCCTGATCAAGGTTGGGAATGAATGGATCCAAAAGCTTGGTCACTGAGGCAGTCTTCCAATCAGATGCCAAAACCAAGAAATTTGGGATCAGAGAAATACTCATGTTAATCAACTGGGGAAGAGTACAGAGACCACATACCTCACTATCTACTTGTTCCTGGTGGTATCATAACCCCCAAGCCTGGCACTTATTTTCTGTCAGAGTGAAGAGGTATGTATTCTGGAGAGGTCCTAATGCCATAGGGATATGCAACTGGGCTATTTCTGTATGGAGATTCAGGAAGACATGTTGTTCATATTACGTGGATGAAGCATAGTGGCAACATGTTGTACTTCCAGGTGGCAGCAGGAGAAGAATCAAATTGCCCATTTCCCTGTACTGACTCTGAAGAATATGTGAGCTTTAGCCACATGGTGGCACGGTGAGTCCACTTACAGGCTTTCCTAATGTGAGGGTAGGGTGAGATGGGGAGTAGAAAGAAGACAAGATCTGATAAACACCAGGAGACTTCAGGCAAACCATCCTTGGCTTGCTATTGTCACCAATGGAAGTGATGAAAGGAAGAGACAGTAAGAATGTGGATTATTTGACATAGAGAAACCCACAATCAGGCAATGAGTAAGCTCATCTAAATTTTCCACTGATATTTTCCCATTTTCAGCTTTTCTTTTGTTTTCCTTTCCAGGACTGTGATTTTTTCCAACCTATTTTTTTTTCTTTTTTTGAGATAAGGTCTTACTGTCACCCAGGCTGGAATGCACTGATGCAATATCAGCTCACTGCAGCCCCGAGCTCCCTGGGCTCAAGCGATTCTCCTGCCTCAGGAGACTGGGCTACGGGCATGTGCCACCATGCCTGGCTAATTTTTGTATTTATTGTAGAGACAGGGTTTCACCATGTCGCCCAGGCTGGTCCAACCTGAGTTCTTAAAAGGAAGGTTTATCAAAGAACGAGAAACTCAGGACAATATTGCTTAAAACAGGTTGCCTTTTTATTTTAGAGGTGTTTGTGTATTTCTGTTTAAAAGGATAAGGCCTGTATTCAGAATAACTATCAGTGATATTGGTCCTTGTGTTACAATGAGGAAATATCAAAGATAAAAAAAAAAAAACCAACTCACAAGATCCAAAGGAATAACACTTCAGTGATAACATTTTAGTCACTGTGACATATTAAGGGATACTTTTTGGCCCTTAATAAGGTAAAAATCCACCTGGACATCTAAAATCTCACCTGTTGAGTAGGGACGCCCATATCTAGTCCAGGATCACTCTGCATAAAATGCTTAAAATAGTTTTAGACTTTCCAAAATTCCATAACTAGAATATTCCTTGGAAATAATAAAAAATGCTCTAAAGTATTTCAAAACCAAATTTGAGAATCGTGTTGAAGAATACAATCTGGTCTCCAATTAATTCTGAGTTCACATTCTGTAAGTACATTTATTTTCTTCTGACATTTTTTGACTCTGTATATGATGACCTCTTTAACATGATAGTAGGATATTCAGTTTTACATGACACATACTTTCTTAGTGCCAGTAATACAGTAGATGCTCAATAAATGTTTATCGTTCAAGTGAACTATACTGTATTCAATTTCAGCTTGTCTAGCAAAATCACAATGAATTCCTTTAAAAATCATCTTCTATTCCAAGGTATACATCAGTTCCCAAAGCTCAGTGTGTTTCAAAGAAACCCAGTTCCTATGATTATAGATAAAAGTTGCAGATGTTAACTTTTTGTCTTGATAACATGGCCCTCTAAGCTAGAAGTCTTGGGATGAATGGTAAAATTCTAAGACAATAATATAGATTACTTTGCCACCTAGAAACTAGCTACGCTTAAGGGAAGTGTTGGCATGGGGGAACACTATCAATAATAGAAGTGATTTTAGATTACTATCCACATAACTATAAAAACAAAACATTTTAAAACAAAACATTTTAGCGTAGTTGAAAAAAGAGAACTTCTTCCGGGCACGGTGGCTCACACCTATAATCCGAGCACTTTGGGAGGCCGAGGCGGGTGGATCACGAGGTCAGGAGTTTGAGAGCAGCCTGGCCAATATGGTGAAACACTGTCTCTACCAAAAATACAAAACAGCCGGGCACGATGGCAGACGCCTGTAGTCCTAACTACTCCTGAGGCTGAGGCAGGAGAATCGCCCAAACCCAGGAGGTGGAGGTTGCAGTGAGCCGAGATTGTGCCACTGCACTCCAGCCAGGGTGGCAGAGTGAGACTCATCTCAAAAAAAAAAAAAAAGGAACTTCAAATTATGAAAGGTATAGTATAGTATCTAGTCAGGGAACACAAAATCCCATTTCTTACTAGACAACTAAATATAATTCTTGTCTAATCCTAGAATTTGTGGCATCTTGCAGACAACAAATATTAAAGAATATAATTTCAGGTTCAGGGGTTCACTTCTTGCAGTGTTGGTGTGATCATACAGCAAGTGTGGAAAAGGGATCTTCACAGGATTTACAGAAGAAAAATGATATATAGGCCCTTACCTATCCTTCCAAATCATTAAAACAGGAAGAATAAAGAGTGAATTATACAAATTGAAGTTTAAACTTCTATGTCTGTGCCTTAAGATAGACATAAGAAGTTACAGCCAGTTCTGTTATTTTTTGTAACTATAGGACTTTTTCAGAATATTTTTTCAGATTCCTATCTAGGAAAAAAAAGGAAAGGGGCTAGAACATAAAAACTCATTTGTGGCCGGACGTGGTGGCTCACGCTTGTAATCCCAGCCACTTTAGGAGGCTGAGGTGGGCGGATCACATGAGGTCAGGAGATCGAGACCAGCCTGACCAACGTGGCAGAACCTTGTCTCTACTAGAAATACAAAAATTAGCCAGGCGTGGTGGCACACACCTCTAGTCCCAACTACTTGGGAGACTGAAGTTGGAGAAACCCTTGAACCCGGGAGGCGGAGGTTGCAGTGAGCCGAGATGGCGCCACTGCACTCCAGTCTGGGCGACAGAGTGAGACTCCGTCTCAAACAAACAAACAAACAAAAAAACTAATTTGTGCTTGTAGTTAGTTGCAAAAGGAAAAGCTACATTACTAGCTATGATTGTCCATTTGTAAAATAAGAAAAAGGATTTCTGTCCCTCTCCTCTCCTAAATATAACACTAGTTAGAAAAATTCAGAAATATTCCACAACACCCCCATCATTTTTTTTTAAAAGCACAAACTGTTTACAAACAAAGGTCCGCATTTGCCCCCATCTCATAATGCTTTTCACATTTGAATGAGCCTTCTTAGACTTTCTTCTCCGACTGCAGATAAAAGGGAATCATCTCTGCTGCTTTGCTTTCTACCTTTCGTTTGATAGTTTTCCATTGGAATGAAGAAAACAAGACCCAGTCAGAAAAAATATGTTTAAAAGTCCTTCAAAATGAAATTATTAATGTCTTTATATAGGTTTAAAGCTATCTTTTAGGTATAGGCTGGAGATGGGATTTGGATAAATATGTCAGAAATGTTGAGGAACTTTCAGAATTAAGAAGTCACGAAAGTCATACAGCTAAATAACGTTAGGTTACATTTTATAATTCTGTTTCACAACATGATTTTAATGATCTCTGCTTTTTGTTTTAATTTTTAGGTAGAACTAAGTCTATGTGCATATAAATAACACAAAAGAAATGTACTTTCACAACTACAGTGGCAACAGTAACATTTTTTGTTTTACTTTAAAAAAATAAACTTAATTATTCTAAGTGCTTCAAAAACTTAGATCTTAGAAATAATTTTGTTATACTCCACTGGCATTAATACTGGTTATTAGGAGGCTGATGCACAGCTGATTGGATTTGTCTCTGGATTTAAATATGTATTGAAGCCATCAGTTCAAAAACACTTCAAACTCTCCAGTCAATTATGATTCTGCTCAAATCAAGCAGCACAATTATTTCATCATTGGAAAGTAACTTAAAAAAAAAACAACAGGGAAGCTTTAAAAAAGACAGATTTCTGTCATACATAACAATGCTGACTGGCATAAGAATGCACACTGCCAAATGTGTTGTTATTTTTTACATAAGGGATTAAATAGGAAAGCACTAAATAAAATTCATTTTTTCAACATAACTGTTTAATGAAATTCACTTTTGCACCATAACAAAATAGAGCATTTTGGGAGAAAACCTTTAATCCTGAAAAAGCTCAGTGAAAACGACGACAGCCTTCTTTTTGGAGACTATGTATAGCTCACTGGAAACCTAGAAAATATTTAAGACTAAAGGCATTGGGGATTTTGTTGTTGTTGGTTTTGTTGTTGTGGTGTTACTATTTCCACTCACCAGCTCGAAGGGGTCGTGGAACTCCCCCAACAAAGATAGTTTTTCTGGGGTCCAAAGGCTGAGAACCATCCATTACAAAGTCACTGTCACTTAGGTTCCATGGTCGAATTTGCACCTGAAAAAAAGTCGTTTACTTGGTCCTTACTTCATTTCCAGCAACCCCAAATGAGAATAAGATGACTAAAGACAAACCCACTGATTTGTGCATTTCACAATGAACATGACCCAAACAAAATCCAGTTAATTAGTTAATGTAATCCGCATTAAGTACCTTTCAATAGAACTCTTGGGGAATCTACTTACAGGTACTGTACTCAGCACTCTAGACATATGACATATACCATGAAACCACTGGAAACCACCTCTGCCTGTGTTTTTTTTTTTTTTTATTGTAAGGCAGGCTTTTAGAGACAGAGTCTGCATTTTGAATCAGATTCATTTTAACACACGATAGAGACTGTTTACTATGTGTCACAATACACCACTTTGTTTTAAGAGTTCATCTAAAGTACATCAGGAGTATTTTCTAAAAATTATCCATGTCTGACTTTTTAATTCTCATCACCTTCCAAAATTCGAACATATCTTTAAGCAATATGATTTAATACAGATTAACACGCAGCAAGTTAGCATAGAATTACCACAGATAACAATATAGCACAAAGAGAGTACTCTCTGGCCAGGCACGGTGGCTCACATCTGTAATCCCAGCACTTTGGGAGGCCGAGGCAGGCGGATTCCTTAAGGTCAGGAGTTCGAGATCAGCCTGGCCAACATGGTGAAACCCTGCCTCTACTGAAAATACAAAAACTAGCTGGGTGTAGTGGCTCACATCTATAGTCCCAGCTACTCAGGAGGCTGAGGCATGAGAATCACTTGAACCCAGCAGGTAGAGGTTGCAGTGAGCCGAGATCGCGCCACTGCACTGCAGCCTGGGTGACAGAGCGAGACTGCCTCCGGAAAAAAAAAAAAAAGAGAGAGAGAGTTATCTCTTTCGGATTTATCTGATTTTGACAAACGAGGCTGGTTAAATAAAAGCAAGCCTCAAAGTTTAAGTAAATTTTGTTTAAAGTAGAAAAAGAAATCTTTATGGCATATTTCTATTTGGTCATTTTTCTTAACTGGGACTCTGACTTAGTGCCCATAGTTTGTACTATTTTATCACAGAGTAAAAAATAAGGTATTTCATTAGAATTTTAACCCTAAAACATGAGCCTTTATGTATATGATTTTATACATGAAACCTTAAAACATGTTATCAAAGAATAGCTTAAAACAAAACAAAAACACAAAAACATCCTCCTGCATGAGAAGGCAAATTCTGCACTGCCTCAAAACCAACCAGTTAGGCAAGTAGCCAATATGCTCTGAGAAGCGGACTGGGTGCAGAAAGGGAACCTGGTATCTGTCCTCAAGGAACATGCCATTCCCCCTCCCCTCCACCAATGACTAAGATAGAAAACAAAAAAGTTGGCTTTTTATTTCCTTAGTATTAATGGAATTGTTCATTTTCCCCCTTGCTCAGACATCAACGCTCAATGCAAGGAAACATATGGGATAATTTCATATGTGGCTTGGCTTATACCCAGGAGTACTCCCACTTGAAAGGTAGCACCTGTGGCAGTTATACTTTCAAAAATTTTGAATTAACTTTAAAACTGGAATTGCTCAGTTAGAAATAGTCTACCTTTTTTTTTTTTTTTGGAGATGGAGTTTCTCCTTTTTGCCCAGGCTGGAGTAAAGTGGCACCATCTTGGCTCATGCAACCTCCAACCCCCGGGTTCAAGAGAATTCTCCTGCCTTGGCCTCCCAAGTAGCTGGGATTACAGGTGACCGCGACCACACCCAGCTAATTTTTGTATTTTTAGTAGAGATAAGGTTTCACCATGTTGGCTAGCTGGTCTCAAACTCTTGACCTCAGGGGATCTACCCGCTTTGGCCTCCCAAAGTGTTAGGATTACAGGCATGAGCCACCGTGCCTGGCCAGTCTACACATTCTTTAAGATTGCTAAAAAAATTCACCCTCACCTAACTTTTTGCCTTTATTATTATTATTTGAGACAAGAGTGTTGCCTTATTGCCCAGGCTGGAGTGCAGTGGCATGATCTCGGCTCACTGCAACCTCTGTCTCCTGGGTTCAAGTGATTCTCGTGACTCAGCCTCCTGAGTAGTTGGAATTATGGGCGCCCGCCACCACACCTGGGTAATTTTGTATTTTTAGAAGAGAAAGGGTTTTGCCATGTTGGCCAGGGTGGTCTCAAACTCCTGACCTCAAGAGATCTGCCCACCTCGGCCTCCCAAAGGGCTGGGATTACTGGAGCGAGCCACTGAGCCCAGCCACTTTTTGCCTTTTATGACACTGTTGGCCTCACCACTTAGCCAGAAGACACAAAATCTCCATTTCTTCCCTAGACCCTGAAAATTTGGACCTGTTTACAATACCGTTCACATTCAGACATTTGCTCCATCTTTATTGCATGAAAAAAAATGCAGTTCTTTCCATGTAAACTTTGGTCTGTTTGACTAAATTATCATTCCCTTGACATTTACTACAAAGGCAGATTCACTAATACCATAAAGCATTACTTTTAAATGCCTTCATGAGGACCTATTGTCTATTACTAATTTTTTCATTTAATATACAATAGTTTCCTGACACTGTGAGAACAAACAGTAAAGATTCCCTTAAATACACACATACACACACACACACACACACACACAGATGTATCTTTTTCTACACATAATCTCTCTTCTGATCTCATTCCTAATAAAGCAGTTAAGGCAGTTTAGGGACCTGGTAAGGTAATTCCAATCACTTTATGTTAACTGCATTCGATCACAGATAACTTTATTTAAAAAATGAAAACTATTCTTGTGTAGTATCCAGTGGTCTGCTTTCATGCTCAATTAACGGAGACAGGAAATACAGCCTTTTATCAATAGCTGTAGGTTACCACTGCTCAAAAGAACTCTGCAAAAGATCTCAAACCTTCCTGCTGAGAGCTTTCATTATTGCCTACTGCCTTTTCTGCCCACTCCCCAACCCCCGACCTCACTTCATCACATTGCACACAACCCATTCCTTTATTCTTGGCATTGTAGATAAGGTAAAAATACAGGAAGAGGGCTCAAGACACAGTGCTGATTAACCCTATTCACAAAACCTACATTTCCCAGCTGCCACCAGAAAATAGTTGCTCAGAGCTGTCACCTCTGCAGAATTAATCAACATAGAACAATATCGACACACTCTATCTACTAAGCAAATAATAATATTGTGGTACTATCTGTATGAAAAGTTACACTCACACTCTGGTTTCTCTCTGAAATCTAAGCCCATTCTCACATCAGGCCTGTTTCTCCAGACCTCAGGTCCTGATATCCGTGTTCTATCCTTCTGGACTTACTCTTTGTTTGGATATATTTTCTGGTCCTGATTTTGTGTGTGTGTGTGTGTGTGTGTGTGTATGTGTGTGTGTATATATATATGTATATATATACTTCATTGTTATACTTTATAAGCTAATTCAAATATTTTGTGGAGAGTATAAATAAAATAACCACTTTTTAATTATCTTTGTTTAATAATTATTTTTGAGAATAGATGAAATTATAATTCTTTCCTAATTCAATATAAATTTCTTCTCTCTATACAAAACTGGTCCTCCATATCTGAGGGTTCTGAGTCTGCAACGAGGGTCAGCCAATCTCAAATAGAAAACTTTTTTTTTTTTTTTTTGAGATGGAGTCTTGTTCTGTCGCCCAGTCTGGAGTGCAGTGGCACAATCTCAGCCCACTGAAACCTCCACCTCACAGGTTCAAGAAATTCCCCTGCCTCAGCCTCCTGAGTTGCTAGGGCGTGTCACCACACCTGGGTGAATTTTTTTTTTTTTTTTTTTTTTTTTTAGTAGAGATGGGGTTTCATCATGTTGGCCAGGCTGGTCTCAAACTCTTGATCTCAGGTGCTCTACCTGCCTCGGCCTCCCAAAGTGCTGGGATTACAGGTGTGAGCCACTATGTCCGGCCTAGAATATGTTTTAAAACAAAAATAACAGTAACAATAATACAAATTTTAAAACTACAGTAGAACGACTATTTATATAGCATTTACGTTGTATTAGGTATTATAAGTAATCTAGAGACAATTCAAAGTGTATGGGAGGATGCACATAGGTTACGCTATTTTACATAAGGGACTTGAGCATCTGTGGATTTTGGTATCTGAGGGGGGGTCCTAGAACCAATCCCTTATGCAAACTTAGGAACAACTGTACAGGGCTAACTCTGTGAGTGTGTGTGACAAAGAAGGTGTGTGAGTGAAACAACTCTTCCAGTATGTTGTCAAGTAGGCGCTTTAGGGGCAGTAAAAGCCTCAGCATCCTAAGGACAAGTATAAGGATGTCCCCCAGAAACAGTAAAGATTCCCTTAAATTATCCTAACATGATTCCAGCACTTCTTCCTGGAGCAGCCTGACCACATTTGCTTGTAAAGGTGACTCTAAAAAGAGTTTGCTGGCCAGGTGCAGTGGCTCATTTCTGTAATCCCGGCACTTTGGGAGACGGAGCTGGGCGGATCATTTGAAGTCAGGAGTTCGACAACAGCCTGGCCAACATGGTGAAACCCCGTCTCTATTAAAAATACAAAAATTGGCCGGGTGTGGTGGCAGGCACTGGTAATCCCAGCTACTCAGGAAGCTGAGGCAGGAGAACCACTTGAACCTGGGAGGCAGAGGTTGCAGTGAGCCAAGATTGCACCACTGCACTCCATCCTGGGTGATTAGAGTGAGATCCTGTCTCAAAATAAAAATAAAAATATAAAAAGAGGGGCTACAGTATCCTTTGGGAAGCTCCAGCTCTTGGGCCATGCCATGTCCTTACGGTAGGGGGTCACACAAACTCAAATGGCCATAGGGTCAGACAGGTAGCACAAATGTGAAGCCATGTTTGGGTTAGTACGCAGGCAGTAACACACTGGAGTAAACTACTTCTCAGCTCCAGTAAGTAGTTACCACTTGCCTATGTATTGTCAGACTTTTTCCATTTTTCAAGAGTGGCTAGAAATTCAGATTTTTAAGTGAAACTTCAAGATTCTAAAATAGGAACTAATTCAAA